TGTTGTTTTATTTCTTTTCCCTTTCGTGCAACACTTATTTCTTTCCTCTGTGCGCTTCCCAGACATCGAGTGTGAGAACTCCGAGGGCCTGTGCTTGCAGGAATTGTTTTCTACATTGGCAGGCACATAAGTTGACTGATAGAAATGACAGAAATCAGACAGAGCACACAGGACATGAAACCATGAAGCACAGGACTCAGTCTGCAGCTGCTGCTGCTGTGCTGTTTGTGTGAATGGCCGTTGGTGTCTGTTTAGGAGCCACTCATAATGACTGTTGGATTCTTTCGGGGTGGTACAGTAGTTTCTGGGCAGGCGTTACAGTGGACTGATGTGATTAACAATGAAAAACTGAAAGGCTTTGTTTTGAGTAATCAGAGCTCCAGGGGAGGAAGTGAAAGCAACTGCTTTCACCTGGTGAGAGAGGAAAGGAATGTTTCACACGCTGCCATTTGTTCAGATTTTTTGTTTTCCCATCGACTCTAAAACCCTTCGCTTGGTTGTGTCATTGAAATAAACCTAACCCTTCAACACACAACCTCACACCAGCCAAGCTCAATCATGTCCATCATGTCCTGACGTTCTACCTGTCTGGTATGACAGCAAGGTCACACCGACAGCGGTTGACCTTCAGCTATGAAAATCTCTGATGGCATGAATAAACAAACAAGGCACTGAAGTGAGTATACCCACATGGTTTGCAGCACATAACAATGTCTGGTGTTAGCTTAGAGAACTTTGTAACATGAGCTAACAGGCCTAGAAGCAGCTTCACTGTGTGAGCTATTTGAAGTTCATAACAAAGGTTCGAAAAAGCCCCAAATACCTGCCAATCCCATGCTTTAGAGTCTGAACCACTGTTTCCTAGCACTTACATGCAAACGCCCCTCCACCATCCCCACTCCCCATCAGCAGTTTAAGAGGGGGGAGTCCAGTCAGTCAGGCAGCCATCCCCCAAAACAGGGAGATGAAAGGAAAAAAATAATCAGAAGAGGCTTCTCTGCAAATCTGTATTTTCTGAACTGTTACTTAAGTCATACACTTTCCTTCACTCTTCATTCATTCTTGTTGGGGCCATAAAAAATAATTTATACATGGCTCCTCACTCCATCAGATGAATTTCTGGACAGCCCTTAAGGCACTACTAGTGGTAATCTGTTCTTACGTAACACTGTTCAATAAGAGCTGACCTTGTGTCTGAAGGGCCTTTCTGCTTGTTGGTCTGCTGCACAGCGTCCCTGTGGGAGAGGGGACCACGGGTGGCGTCGGGCTAGCTAAAGGAGCAGTCCCTCTGCCTGCCTGGTGTCCATTCACAAACCACACTGGATCGTCTGGAGAAGGGTTTGAATGGCCCATTGAGCTGCCCCCCGATCAGTGGCTGTGTATTGTGGAGGACAGCTGGGGCTCTTGTTTACTCCTCCACTTGGGACAAATGGCCCGGCTGCCTGCAGATAGGGTTTCCATGATCCCTGGAGAAGAGCTATTGACGGGAGGCACAAAGAGGTCTAACTCGGGGAATTCCGTCTGTGTGGTCTGTTTCTCTCATGTTTTCTTCCGTCACCCCCGTTCAACAGTGCCGCCGAGTCCTCTTGCGATAATGTCTTGTAGTTTTTGGAAAGATGCTGGATCTGCTGTTTTGTGGTCTTGATTTATGTGAAAGACACATACTTTGCAATAGGTGGCTTTGGGACAAATTTAAGATAAAGGAGGTTGGAGCAGTGCTTTCACTGAGCAACTACTACCAGTGTATAAGCACGTTGCTCAGATTGTGGAATCCTCCTCTCCAGCACTCAGATCTCTACCCCACTTAAGTTAGGACCCTCCCAGTATAAGTACACACATTCACTATTTTAAGACTCGTAATGTGTAATTTGAAGTTGTATGCAGCACAACGTATGGAGTACTTGTAATAAAATACTTGAATTTGTATAAACACCCCGTCTCTCCTCATCCTTAAAGGGGCTGGGCTTGTTTTCAGAAGCAGTTCTGGGTTTTTTACCTCGTAAGACCTGGCATGTCTGGCCTCCACCCCATCCCCCTCTGCCCCCAGTGCAGACCATGATCCTCACAATAGGCCCTCAGCTCGGGGCTGCAGTACCAGACGTCTGCAGCCTTACTGCATGTGCTCTGAGAGAGAGAGAGAGAGAAAGAGAAATACATGCTTTCCTTTACAAAAACTGTGGCAAAAATTAATTTCAATCCGTGTGTCCACATTATGAGTGCAAGCATTTATAGAGCACAGTAAAAACCTAAAGAAAGGAATGGGCTGTAATATTACCCAGTATAGTGCCTCTATTTTCAATGTTTCATGAAGGTGTACAATATTCATAACTATACATACACATCATGTTGAAGTACTTCCAGGAAGACCCTTACTTTTTATTAAATGTCAACATGTTCCATACTTTCTCCAAAGCTAACTCCTTTTTCCCCCTTCCCTTATTCTAATTCTTCCTTATTGCTCCAGTTCTTGGCATCTTTTCCCATACTCCCACCTCTTCCCAGCGTGCAGTGTGATTGGTGTGCTGTGGCTCTGGAGCGTGATGGGTTTGCACTCTGCAGCAGAAGGGGAGTGGATTGAAGTGGCCAAACAGGGGGGGATTAGAGCTATTTAAAGCGCTGTATGTCTTTCCCTTCAGGCTCCAGCTCCAAATATAACTCTCTGAGCAACTGACGCCCAGATAGTCCAGGCCTCTTGGCTCGATCCACTTATATAATCTTTAAAGGAGCAGCTTCCATCACCTGCCTTCGCCTCTTGCTGCGTTTCTGCTCATAGAAATTGTGACCCATTGTGGGGACGTCTCGATCACCGAGTCTGCGTGAGAAAACCTTGTGTGTCTCTGACACTCTCACGTCTTACAACAGCTTCACTCTGATCGACTTTCATTTAATACAAAAGCACATGTATCAAACGTGCTGATTCCCATAGAGCTGGGTGATCACAAGTATTTCAGTTCAATTGTTTAGGGGAAATAATAATAAGAATAATAATAATAATAATAATAATAATAATAATAATAATAATAATTGCTTACACTTATATAGCGCTGCTTATTTCTGGACACTCATCTCAAAGCACTTTACAGGTAATGGGGACTCCCCTCCACCACCACCAATGTGCAGCATCCACCTGGATGATAATAATAATATTCCCTTAATAATCCACCAGATATTCATTTATATTAATATTCAACATATCATATTAGAAGTAGAGCTTTGAATTAAATGCATGCATGACTCTATATACTGCAGGTATTCTGGCTAGTAATGGAACAGTAGCCTGTGTGCAAACCTAGTGATTCAGTGACCTTCTTCAGGCCTTGTAACTGGAATAGTTTATCAACACAACAGATAACAACATGAAAAGGAGTGACAAAGGGTACTGTACATGCAGAAGGACACAGAGTTAGGTAAGAAGTAAACATTAGAAAAAAGATCATGATCTGTCTTTTCCAAGTGCAGGCAATGAAAGATCTATTTATATACTCTATACTGCATGGATCTTACAAGGAACTCCTTTCAGGGCTATAGTGCCTTTGAACAGAAATAAATAGCTATGAATTATGGGAATAATAATTAATCCATCCATTTTCAGAAACTGCAGGGTTTAAAACAGAGGTGTTCTATGAAAGACACATATTTACTGTATGCTTTAATGGTCAAAGTTAGCTATGCCTTATTGATGAACCCAGATAAACTAAGCAGCTGCCTGTAGCTGATAACTTTGGCTTTACATACACAAAAGGAGAACGAGAAGTCTATTTAAACAGTTCTGTTTCCTTGAGTGGTGAAACAACCGGAGCTTATTAATACTCATCCTTATTCTTCATAGAACCTATCTGTTTTTCTATCAATCTATGAGTCTGTCTGCGAGTGGATACAGCACAAACAATGGGATAGCTTCATTATTTGGAGCATGTCAGATGGTTTCTTGGGACAAGGCATTGTTTCTCCTGCACAAAAATCGCATCGAGTTTCGGACTGTTCGCTTCCCCGCTTTGCATTGTGATGCATTGTCCCGGTACAGCTGTAGTGGAAGAAATAGTTAAACAAGGTCTTTTGTGAGTCAGCTGTCTGCCTGGCATTGTCATTCCAATGACTGTCAGGCCGTAGTGGAACAGGCTCCAGTGCTTTGGGATGCTAATGCTCTGCTGCTGTCCCCAGGGTCCTGGATCCTGCATTCCAGCCCTGGGAAGGAGACTGATGGAAAGAAAGCTGGACTGGCTGAAGTGTGCCAGGCGGCAGTGGATTATGGTAATAGCCCACTGTGAAAGGGAACCCGGCAACCATTGTCTTCCCCATTCAGAAATCGAGCTCCAGCCCTTGAAATGGAATACTACGTGCTGGTGGAATGGTTCGAAATTGTCATGGGAGCTGAAACAAACACATCTATATTAGTGTTGTAAAAAAATTAGTGCCCTTTTAAAATGAAATCTAAGGACCCCCACCCCCCTTAAAAGCATCACAATATCCCATCTGAATCAAGCTCCTTCATGGATGCAGATCAGTGGGCAGAACACTGACGACACTCTGTGCCAGCCTATCAGGCCCCTAACTGCTGACTGGTCATGGGAAAGCCTCATGCGGCTCTCTGTAACAAGGCCCATGTGAACAAAGAGCGCACCATATCACATCTGGACCATGTGAAAAGAAAACGCACCAGGGCCAAAAAGCGAGGAAAAGTTTGTAATTCCGATTTACTCAGACCGGAGAGAGAATTTAATCAGGCTACATTTCATCTAATCTGTATTGGGTTTGTTCGTGGCGCCGACTGTAACTTCCACTGTCCTTTGGACAAATTCAGTCATTCTCTGTGCCAGTAGACAGAAGCACAGACCTTTGATGTAACATCTCCAATACAAACCAGCCCCTCCTACAGCACGCAACGGTGCTGGTTTGGAATTTTGTTTTCGGAGATGAGATACAGATTATAACCCACTGGTCTATCATCACTACTTCCTAACTTACTGCTTACTCTTTCCTATACTTTCTGTATTTACTGCAAGACCCACCCAATGTCCCACAAATTCATTCCTGACTGGCCAGGACCAATCTGGATTAATCTCGTAAATTCTGAGCAACATATGTTGGTACCATATGTGAGAGAGGAAAACAGTAAAGGCTAGTGGATATAGCAGATCTAGCAGGGAGTCTTGGAGGATTGCACTGTGCAGCTGACAAGGCAGGTAGCAGTCAGCACTAATGTTTCAAATCTTGAAAACTGAGAAGGAGGGAATGTGATGTCATAGTGAGCTGTTGCCTAATTGTTTCTTCACCGGTTGATTGTTTTGCGCGTGACATGAACTGATAATGTCTTTTAAGGAGGCTTTAAACACCCTTCAGAAGCAGAAACTGCTTGTGCTTATAAAAGAGGAGATACTGTGGTGGTGCAGCAGCAGCAACACCATAAGCAGATGCTAATGGGGACAGAAAGAAACGGCCCGTGTTCTTACTGGGAGTATTGCACAGAGGTGAAACAGTTTGTTCTGAAGGCTGAAGGGAATGTCCTTGTGCTTCTTAGAACAACAGAAATGCGGCGCGAAGCACAGCTCCCAGCCCCCTCCACTTGTGCTGAGACTGTCCTGCTGCGAGAGCACATTCCCCACATTCCATCTCCGCCGATTGAGCAACGAGCAGCCCAGGGCACGGAGACCGAAACAAAGGGCCTGGGAAACTGCTCTTCTCTCCAGATCGCTGCTGCAGCCCTGGCCTGTCACAGCAGTTTGCCCTCTGTGCCCCCAACACTCTCTGACCCCCCCGTCTGATGAGAAACCCCCATTGAACTCGGCTGCCCACCAAAACAAGTAAGAGTCTCTCGGTGCCTGATGGGCAGCTGTGTGGAGCAGGGAATTGTAACCGGAGTGTTGTGGGTTCACATCCCATGTGTGACACTGCTGTGGTACCCTGCAGCAGATTGCTTCAGTAAAACACCCAGCTGCAGAAAGCTATCAAACACTACACTGGATTCAGCCAAATTAAATCAGTGACGAATGTGATGGGGATCTCTGGGTGTGGCCTGAACTTTCAATACTGAGCCTCAGATTGCCAACCACTGTTGGACCAATAGTAAGGGTCAGTGGATCTGTTGTGGGGTACTTGGTCTGCTTGTAGTATGAATACCAGTATTAAGCAAGGCTGGCACAGTGACTTTAACGGGTTTGAGGAGTCGAATGGCATGCTTGCATTGTCATTTGCATTTTCCACTTCGGAATTAATGGTAGCTGCATGCTGACTTTATACCTTGCATACAGGGTGGAAAAAGTGTTTGCCTTGCAGTGAACAGAGTGAGGCTGAGGCAAGCAGAAAGGAAGAAAGTGTGCGAAAGACAAAACAGCCAGAGAGATTTCATCTCAGATTTGAAACTTTGTGTCAGCAGCACAGACGAGATGTGCAATAACGAAAAAATGCAGATGCACTGCTCAAGCGTTTTACATGTTTCAAAATCTTTCCTTCAGAATGGAGGCTGGCCTGTTCCTCCCTGCCCCCCCTGGTTCATGATGGACCCAGAGCCATGAGCACAGCAGATTTCTGTTAAGAGGACATGTGGACAGCTCAGTGTTCTCACCTAGTTTCCCTTGTCTAACCCTGGAGAGGGTCATCATCGCATTACCAGCTTGAATGGTGCCATCCATGAGCAATGTCCACTTTGTGTCCAGGAACCAAAAGAGACTGAGGTGTTGTCCATGGCTCCTAGCTGGCTCTTACCCAACTGCTCCCACTATCAATTATTAATTCCTCAGACCTTTTTTAAAAACACTATTTAAATGACAGACTGCCCTGTCTTGACCACCACTAGAAGACACAACTATTCTACTATTCTATACTATATACTGACTTTACTCTGCCTTTTTGTCCAGATTCTTCAGTTAAGTATTGGGATAATTTCCTGGATGGTATTTTAAAAACAACTAATAACAATCAGATGAAACAGGTTAAGATCCTAGGCGCTGGTAAATGATTCAAGTGAGAAGTATAGAATCAGACCAAGGTTTCCCCAGACTGGTTAGGAGAAATATGTGATTCTTGTTATCCTTCCTAGAAGTTCAGCCTTGCCTTCTGATTTCCTGGTAATGGGACGCAGTCCAGTGTGGTGTTGTGTTGTGTAAACAGTTTGTTACATCGTGTTCTGGGAGTCTCTCGGAGTGTACAGCCATCAATCCTGTCAAGTCAGAATATCCCCTTTTTATGAGCTGGGGGAGCTGCCCCTTTGCAAAATAGTCATCCCCCCCCACGACTACCACCATTACAAAAAAGGAAAGTAGAACACTGTCATCTCAGCAAAGAGTGCCCGTCCTCAATTTTGCATTTCTTCTGCTTAATTCACAGCGTTACATAAAAGACAATTATACAACAGAGTCACTGTGCTTCTCAATCAGAGAACTGTCACAAGGGCGCTTCAAGTACGGGGGGGGATATGGAGCACAGAGAGAAACAATAACGTCTCTTCTCCATACTGTGCCATCCTAGTGGCTATTCCGAAATGCTGTGTAGCTATTTTCCATGTTTTTTTAAGTAAACTGTTTTTTTTTAATTGTACACACAGAGAAATAATCATGGTTACTTTTTCCCCTTTTTAATGTGATGTGAACTCTGATTCACTAAGGATAAAGCTGTTACTGAGAATGGATTCTAGGTAAGACTGATGAAAGTCTTCTAGAAATCTCCTCACAAATGTTGTTTTTATAACCTAAACTTAATTTTAGTTGTTATGATTAATTTGTTTATTTTTTTACTTTTGCAAAATACTTCCTGCCATCCCATAGCTTTACAGATCTCACTGCATCTATAGTGCCTGCACTCCTGTCACATAGAGCGTTTATCAGTATGAACAATATGTAGCGCAGAATGCCACAGCATGTTGATTATTCACTGAATATCTTCTTACAAGCCAGGTCACATCTGTATCACAACTGTATCAACAAGATTAAGGAGTGCAAGTCAATCTGCCCTTTCTTGCTGCACTATTTGAATAGACAAAGAAGAGATTCATTCCAGGATAATTTGTCTACCTTCTCATGAACTTTTATGATTTGGTGAGAGATCCACCAACAATGCGTGGTTCAGAGCTCTAATCAGCAGAATGAGTTCAGACCCTATTTAGGCTCTTGCTTGTGAGCATCCTGGGATGCCTGAAGTTTCTTTCTTTCCAGAAGAAAATGTGTCCAATATTCATTTCGACAAACTGTTTCAGCCCGGCCAGAATCCAGCCTTCACATTCTGAGAGAACAGGCACCTTCATATTGGATGCAAGCATGATGATGAGAGGATAAATTGTGGTTTGTGGAAAACCATGAAATGCTGGATATTGCTTTTTGAAGGAAAACTTTCTACATATACATTTACACATAAAGTGAAAAGGTTAAGTCAGGTCAGTAGACCATCGATAATGTTGGTTGGAAATGTATGGGATGGGTGTGTATCACATTCTCATTCAAATCCTTTGCAGTGATCTTCAAACTGGAATGATAACCACATTAGTCTGTGTCAATACCGTGTGAAAGCTTTACTGTACATCCAACAGGTGTTTTGTTTGTGTACTAAGCTATTTATGTATAAAACTGTCACCCCATCTTAATCTTCATACACACAACCCTTAAGAGACAGCATGAAAATCTTGCACATTTTATTAAAAAACGATAATGCAGTCCTCACATCAGCTGGTGTCAATAAACAGAGATGTTCCTCACTCACGTTCGGTTGAACGCAATATTCCAAACGAGACCTTAGCAGTGCATTAGAAAACTTGACCATAACTTCCCTCGATTTAAATTTCCACACTTTTTGTTGTGTATCCAAGCATTCTGTTTGATCGTTTGTATCTTCCCCCGCATTGTCTTGAACAGGACATAGAAGGATCTATGGAAACCCCAAGAGACCTTTCATGCAAAGTTTCCTGCAGCTCAGATTCAGTCACATGATACTGTGTACAGCCTGTGCTCACTGTGCACTCATCAGTGTTAGATTTTGTCTGCCAGGTATCAATCATTTTGTTACTCCTTGACCACAATCTCTGTTTGTCATTCTGCCTATGTTTTATATGATGTATAAATGTAACTAGTTTGCGAACTATCAAATGTATGTTAATTATCACACTATAATGGTTGATATGGATCGAAGATGAGAACAGAGCCTAGAATGGATCCCTGCAGTGCCAGATTGCTTGAATCAGGCTGTCATCCCTTAAGATGATGTGCTGGTTCTTGCTTGGTAACCAGTTCTTGATGCATGTGCACAAATTACCTTGGATTCCAATGGCTTTTAATTTGGATTATTAAAAGCCACCAGGAATTCTAAATATATCAGAGACTGGTAATAATAAACAGTGCCATTGAGGTTGTGAGTTAGCAACTCAACAGGTCAAAGGAAAGGCAGAGTTAACTAGGCTGCCTTGAGTTCATGTTTGTTCAAGAGGAAGGGAAGGATGATTTCTAATAGCAACTACCCAGATAAGGAAATTCAGGGTACTGAACTACAGTAAGGACTTACCATAGACTCGGTCTGCAATCTCCAGGTCATAGAGCTCTCGCCTTGTGCTGGACACGCAGTTCTCTTTCAAAGGAATACACTGTAAGCAGCCGGCTACTGCCCGGGCAGGCCAGTCCCACATTCCAAGCAACATGTGATGAGGAATTGCGCCTCATTTAAGTCAATTACTCCTCTGTCTGTAGCCTGACAGCTCCAGTCACGTGCTGAGAGTCCCACTAGGGGGTGACTCAATTAATAAGGCACAACTGGCACGCTGATGGGGTCGTTACTGTTTTTTCTAATTATTAAAAAATCCTTCTCTTGCACCTTTATTTCAGTTGTGTTGTAACAGGAGGTAAAGTACTTTGAGGCGGTGTGGCTGAGAAATTATTGAGAAAGATAATCATGGAAAAAATGGAAGGTTCTTTTGAGGAAAATGAATTTGTTACTTTATTCTGTTGGATATGTGGAGAATGTCTTCATAGTCCCAATACTACAGCAAGCCACCAGTAGGAAATGTATCTTGAGCTGGAAAAACCCCAGAATAACTCTGTGCATTCTGTCTTTATCTCAAGGATAGGGTGGAAATTCCCTGAACCTTATTTTGTAGCTTTAGAAAGTGAAAACAAAGAAAATTGCCTTTACACTAGGGCATACAAGGTAACTTTCTGAACACTTAGCGTCAGTCTGTGGATGGGCAGAAGAAAGTAAGTCAGTTCTATAAAATGTGTAAGGGCTGCAGAATCCTATTCCCTTCCCTCCTTAAGTCAGGTCTAGCTAGAAACAAAAAAAACAATGTTTTTGACAAAACCTTTTTAAAGGTTTCGGTATCAATTTTTGCTGACTCAAAAACCAGACCATTATCTTAAAGACTCAGAGCCGTTGGTAAGCAGCGTCGCGTGATCTGTATCAGTGTTTAACGGCTCAGACACTTCCTTCCTCTCCAGTAAAAACTTCATTTCCAAGGGGATGAATAAAGTATTTTGAATTGAACTGAACTGAACTGAACTGAATTGAATTGAAAGGTAGAGGTTCTGTTTTGCTCGTAGCCTGTTGTCATCTCTTTTCTCCTCCTGGGTGCCAGTTTTGGGTTCCCCTGACTGTATCACCTAAACAGCCCGTGAATGTGTCACCTTCCCCCACCACCTGCTCTTCCTGTGGGGCTGTTCCCCTGCAACGCTGGTTCCGACATGTGTTTGTACCGTTTGAGTTGAGTTCGGTTCTCGGTAGCTGGAAATCTTCAACCTTTTTTGGAGTTGATATTAATAAGAATAAAAGAAAAAAAATCCCGTTGAGCAAGATCGCACCTCAGTTAACAATTCCATTAAGTACAAATGTGCCCAGCTGGAATGAAAGGACACAAACATCAGGGTCAAGCATAGCCCTTCTTGTATGGAGGGTACCAAAATACACACAAGCCGCATCACATCCAACCTAAGCTAGAATTGCTTGATGTTCAGGGAAATTGCAAGCTCTGAAGGGTTGAATAATGCAATGCAATACACTCACACGGATATAGAAATGTTTATACAGGGCATCCCAGGGTACCTCAAAGAAAAAGCTTCTGTGAAAGCATTAATTCGTCATTTTATCCAGGTCAAGTGTAAGCTGCAGAATACCTTTTGAAGATGTGGTTTAGAACAAACGTTCAGCAGTCCCAGACTGGGGATTGCACTCACAGTGCAATGGTCTGGACTTGGACCTCTTGCGCCAGATTCATGATCTCAAGGAATGGCTTGTCGTTGTTTCACTTGCTGCGTGTGCTGTTCCAGTGTTTGGTTCCCATGATCTTCATGTTCCTTGCTCCTTAAAGCTTGGCCCTCCCAGGACTGACCCGGTAGCACCTCGATTAGCTCTGTCCTAACATCTTGACAAGCTCAGGCTCCAAGATGTTAAATCCTGCTGATGTCAAGTGGAGCTCTCACTGAACCTATAGTACTGATTTCTGGAAAAGAGAACCGGAAAAGTGAGGTGCATTTCTGTCATCGAGACGTGGTAACAGCTCATTGTCTCAGTTCCTGAGGTTTTCTTTTTTCAGCATGTGTGCGAACTTAATAGTTACTGAGAGACAGAGAGTTTAGAAGTTGTTTTTTCAGTGACCAGATAGGATGTGAGCTTAAAACGTAATCAGGACACATACTGTATTGTACATGGGAAAGATGCCTGTTCAATTTCAGGCTACATAAGGCTTTCTGGAAAGGGTATGAATCCTGAGACCATTCTGAAAGTGTTCTTACCTGTCCCGTTTATGTTTCTAATGGGTTTAAGTGGGGGTAGGTATGCATAGATATCAGTTTTGCATTAGTGATTTTCTATTGTGGACAATGATTTCACTGTACATGTACTAATTGCTTCTCATGTGTCTTACTTTCAAATGAAACAAAGACCTGGATATTTTTTGTTTCATCACTGCCAATTGTGTTCAATTTATTCTAGCTACACACTTCTGGTAATTTTTTCCTATTTTTTTAAATAGAAAAAAACATTGCTTTCCCATGTCTGTGTTTTTTCTGGGATACATCTCTTATTGTAGAGACTAAGTTAGCAGACCTTACAATGTTGTCAGTGACTTGGTTCAAACTGTCCAAGCGGTGTGTGATTTTTAGGAGGCGTTAGGGAGAAGGTTAGAGTGTTAACCCTGTTCACTCATTGCTGCATTAACTTGAGCTGCTGTTCAACTAATGTGCTCTGCTGGGCTGTGCCCAAGTCATATATTAACTGCTGCTGGTGCTCATAGGCACAGGAATGCAGGACAATTATAGTTTCAGAAGACAGATTGGATGCTTATGGTGGTGATAGTAGGCTTTATATACAATACAAATTCATATTGAGAGTTCTGTTATGGCACGGCCAGCACATTGTACAAGAAACATAATTAATTTATTAACATCCCCATCAATTTATATTAGGTTCTACCTATTCTGGAACAGTTTATACACTGCCTGCCCTGACCAGGTTATTAAGACCTGCCTCACTGTTTTGGATACACAGCTGAACAACTGAACACAGTTCACTGGCCTTCCCTGTATTGAACACAGCTCTGTAAGACAGGACAGAAATCAGGTAGATGTCCTCCGTCACATCCTCTTTTCCTCTTCTCCCCTCATCAGCACAAGTATTCCTAGAGGACTAGTAGTGAATAGTGGTATCGGTAATGGTAAGCATGGTGGCATCGATCCATGCTTTTGCCATAGGCCTTATCCCTCTCTCTCTGTGTCAGATCCAGGTTCTGTGCTCGCCCTCGTGGTAAGAAAGGTGAATTTCTTTTAGCGGGGCTGCCGTCGGGTAGTCAGGGCAAGGTGTGGCTGCTCCACTACCTCGACTGCTCGCTGCCACGGTTCCACCCTGCTGAAAACACAAACAGCAGACGGGGTCCTATAATTACTGCAGCGCAGCAGCGTCGAGAGGAATAAACACAGAAATGGCTTTTTGACTTCAAACCAGGACTTGGACGGGGGGGTGGGGGAGGGAGGTGACTGTTGCTGTATGGGTGAAGTGGAGATCAGTGCCTGTCCCTCTCAAACCCCCTCAAACAGGCCCAGCCGTCTGCTTGGTGTGGCCCTTCTGACAGGCACGGATTCCTTCACTGGCCGGGCCCCCCCACTGCCACTCTGTTGAAGAGATAGCTGCCTGTCTTTATGGGAAGAGGCCCCCCATTATCAGATTAATAGGCTGGTCAGCAAGCAAACAAGCAAGATGAGCTCAACAGCCTGTGCTTCGCCTTCAGCCTTTCTTCATTATTCCTGCAGGATGAAGGCATGTGATCATTATTTTTCTTTTCTGTTTCCTGCTGCATTTATTCCAGCCATGGCCTTTTTATTGCAGCCTGTCAGTTTAATTGGGCGTAATCGAATAGAGCCGAGTTGAGAGTATACTGCTGTAATTGGGAATAACATTGGCATTGTTACAGAATTCTTTTTGCAGTGGAAGAGTGTAATGCGATTTTAATCACAGCTCTAATAATGATAACCCTTTTTTCAATCTAATTAAGGCTATAAACCTCTGAGTCTTGTCTGGTTCCTTCCTGGGATTTTGTTAGCCGGCTCTCTCATTATATGGTGATAGTTTTCCTTTTCTAATGTGAGCCTTATTTTGTGTTGGTTTGTTTTCGAAACCATGAGATTTAGTACTTACAGTACGTGCCCAAACAATGATAAACCACAAACTAGGGTAGATTCCAAAAACTGAGCCACCTCCCTCTCTCTGTGTGTTTGTATTTGCGCACTGCCACGCAAGGTTAAACCCCTGACATCCAAGGTAATGCGTTTTAGCTGAAGTCATGGTTGAATTAGTGCTGGTATTAGCAATAATAGGGGTAGCAATAGTTGCTGTACCAGTAACAGAACCAGCAGCAGTAGTGGAACTGAAAATAGTGGCGGTGGTTGTCATTGCCCTTACAATACTGTTGGCTGTAAACAATCAATAGTAGTTGTTGCAGTACAGATAATGTTAATAGTATTTGCCCTTCTCTGTGAGGGAATACATGGTGTCATCAAAGTAGAGAGGATATTCATATGTCACTGTGATGAAGAATTTTATTAAACAAATAACGCAGTTTTTTTTTTTAAACTGCATTGCACAAACTGATATCACACGCTGACAGATGTTCATAAACAAAGTGGGATAGTCCACTCCTACTTAATGCTGGGGTTTCCCTCTTTGCCTCTGTGAAGGAGTTGTCAGTATCTGTCCAGTCATGTTCCTTTCCTCTCCTTCTCCTTTAGTTCGTAGAAAGCTGGGAATTCAGAGCACTCGCCCACTATCATCCTCCCCTGCCAGCGTCAGAGACTTGTAAATATAATTACGTCTAGAATCAAAACAGGAGATTAGCAGTTGTATGGAGGGTAACACGCAGCCTCGCCTCCTGATGATATAGTGTGTAGTAATTGATATGACCCAGATCTTCTCTTCCAGAGCAATCATGGTCTGGCTTTGGCTGATGACTTGTCTTGTTTGCTCTACCAAACTCAGAATCACAGGGTTGTGCTTTGTAGTCTGACTATCCAATCCGTTCCAATTGCTCTAGGAGAGAAAGGTTAATAATGATTCAGTGGCAGACTGACTACTGCTGTACATTAACATGAGGGCTGAGATATGATTATAGGTAAAATCAGTATACTATCCCATCTTTTCCAGCATCTCAGCAGTTTCATGTGGACACTAACAAGC